GGCATTTAGAGAACAAAGTCTGAGTCCGGTGGCATCTTTAAGACCAACAGGGTTTTAATTTTGGGCATAAGCTTTCGTGCGCATACAGACTTCTTCAGATGCACGCAAGAGCTGGCACCCAGAATTAAACTTCGTTGGTCTTAAAGGTGCCACCAGACTCAAACTTAATTCTGTTGCTTCAGACCAACACAGTTAACCCAGCTGAATCTCTCTTCATGGAAGACATTTAGGGAGTGAGTCTTAGCCAGTGAGCTGTTTGGTGTAGTGGTTAAGAGCAGTGTTCCCTCTAAGCTGAGGGAGTGTGAGCTAGCTCACAGTTTTCTAGCCTCCGGCTCACACAATTTTGTCTTCGCTCAGGAAGGAGGGCTCCCAGAGCAAACTGATTTATGCAGTCGGCAAATTGCCCGCTCACAATTTTAATGCCAGTAGCTCACAAAGTAGAATTTTTTGCTCACAAGACTCCACAGCTTAGAGGGAGCATTGGCTAGGAGTACAGACTCTAATCTGGGAGAACTGGGTTTGATTCCTCACTCCATGTGCAGCTGCTGGTGTGACCGTGGGTCAGTCACATTTCTCTCAGAGCTGTTCTCTCAGGGGCAGTTCTCAAGAGAGCTCTCTCAGCCCCACCTACCTCACAGGATGCCTGTTGTGGGGAGGGGAAGGGAAAGGAGGTTGTCAGCCGCTCTGAGACTCCTTTGGATAGCGAAGGGTGGGGTATAAATCCAACCTCCTCCTCCTCTATCTTCTTCTGGGAAAAAAGCAAAAACAGTCTTGAAATAACCAAAACCTGGGAGATTGGCAAAGGCCTCTTTGCAGAGAGTTGTTCTCGCAGAAGATGGGGCTTTGGAGGAGCCCTTTGCTTCACACATCTCAGCCACCCACTCCCACTTACCCATATCTCGGCCCATACATAAGGCCAAGCGATATAAATGGAGGTTTGTTTCACATTCACAAGGTGTCGGGGTGGTGGTGGTTAAAGAGCCCTTTGCTCTCGTGGTCCGGGTGTGTAACACGGGTGCTGTTGGGTTCGAAATCTGTGCTGTGGGTAGCCGTGGGTCCCTGGGTTGCCTACTGCAAACAGAGGGAAGGCACCGCCACAGTGGATTGGACCTCCCAAGTTCAGTAACCTTGACCGGCAACGGCTTCCCAAGGTTTTGGGCCAGGCATCTTCCAGATAGCAGTGTTGGGACCAGAGTTCCCTCTAAGCTCGAGCGTGTCCAGAAGAGGGCAACCAGGATGGTGAGAGGGTTGGAATCCAAGTCTTATGAGGAAAGGCTGAAAGAGTTGGGTATTGTTTAGCCTGGGAAAGAGAAGGCTTTAGAGGGGACACGATTGCAGTCTTCAAATATCTGAAGGGCTGTCATGTAGAAGATGGAGCGGATCTATTCTCTCTTGCTCCGGATTGCAAGGCTAGATCTAATGGGTGGAAATGACAAGGGAGTCGATACCGGCTAAATATCAGGAGAAACTTCCTAACTGTAAGAGTGGTTGAGCAGTGGAACAGTCTGCCTCGGGAGGTGGCGGATGCTCCTTCGCTGGACGTTTTCAAGCGGAGGCTGGATGGCCATCTTCCGGGTATGTTGTAGGTATGTAGGGCTATCTTTTGGCTGTGCTCTCGCAGAGTGCAGGGGGTTGGACTAGATG